CCACACCATTGCTACAAATCACAAGCACAAGCATGGGGCCAGGTGCAGCGTCGTGCCAGGTGGAAGGGTCCTTTCCAAAACTACAGCTTCTCAGATGCATTCCTGGCATGCACCCTTAGGTAACTTGGATACTATCAATGCCGAGACATAGAGCCAGGTCTAGTAAAGTGTCCAAAATGCAAGGTCCTCCTCCCCCAACCAGTGAGTGTAACCAGTAAGAATCAAGACATCCTAGAGCGAACCAACATAGGCTGGCGTCCAATTGAACACGGGACCAAAGCCATGGGCGGGAGAACACAGCCAACCAGCAAGCAGGGCGGAACTTTCAAAATTACCTTGCAGTCCAATCCGGGCTGGGCCCTGAAGTTGTGTGGGGTTGTTTTTGCATAGACAAGCAAATGGGTGCTGGGAATTGAACCCAGGTCCTCTGCAAGAGCAGCCAGTGCTCTTAACTGCTGAGACATCTCTACAGCACCAAGACAGATGTTTTATGTTACACTTGAAACTTATTCAAATATGACATACTAAATGGAAAGCAAAATTAATTTTGTTGCTGTTTTGTGTTTATGAGACAGGGTCTCACTTATATAGACCTGACTGGCCTGGAACTCACTGTGTATACCAGGCTTGTCTCAGAGTCACTGCCTCCTGGGTACTGGGATTAAAGGGATGCACCACCACACCTAGTAAAAGCAAAAATCTGTAATCGTAGTAATAATAGTAGTTCTAAATTTATGCAGAGGTCTCCAGTTTGCTCTGGTCTAGGTCCCCTCAGGAGTCTCCGTTCCTGTGCTCGTGAAAGAGGAGAATTCAAATAGCATACTGTCATAGAGGATGCAGTTAAAAGTTTAATTTTATGAAGCCAGTAATCTAGAGTACACTCTTCAGAGTAAGAGCAGGAAGAGCAGCAACACCAAGATTCTGTTTGGCATGGGATTTACATTTCCTCTCTCCCTTTTATCTCCACTGTTATGCCTTTCCCAAGGTGGACACTTCCAAGAAAGGGATATGCATTTCTCAGAAACTCATTTTGTCCAGAATTTAGTCTGCTGTAAGTAGTTATGTAAGATGCAAGCATATGTTTAGAGGTTTAGGTACACCTAGAGTTGAAGAGTTTACTAGGGAAAAGAGTAACAGCACTCTGTGTTCATTCCCCTGGCCAAGAAGTCCCTGAAGATGATTTGAGCTGACTCATCTAGAATTGATCATAGACACTTACTGCTTTTTATGTCCTGTTTTGAGGGCCCTGAGCTGGCCCGGCAGGAGGGACCATTACCACCTATTTTTACATCCTGTTTCATCAACCGTCAATAAATATCTTTACATCTTCTTTTCGGGTCCTGACTTGGTCTAGCTGGACTGACGTTACCACCTGTTGCTATGTCCTGTACTATAGGGCCTGTTGGCCATTCCCTCAGAGAATTAACATGCTGCCTAGCATTATCAGGTTACCTAGCAATCTAGATTGTGAATCATAGCAGAGAAATTAGTAAAGGGCTCTTGGAAAACTATCCTTCTGATATAGAGGGAAAACCATCTATGTTCATTAATGCAATTTCAGAAATAGAAACACCCCTAAACCAGCAAAAATACTTTGCTCATCATAGTCTAGTTATGTCGTAGCCCAGCTTAGAGTTGAAATGTGTGGGACTAATGAATTGGAACATTTCTAAGAACATATGGCTTGAACTAGTTTCTGATTCTAAGGCTTATTTTAATTAAATCAAGATGGGGGAAGGGGGCTGGAGAGATGGCTCAGCAGTTAATTAAGAGCACTGGCTGCTCTTGCATAAGATCCAGGTTCAGTTCCCAGCACCCACATGGCAGCTAAAAACTGTCCATTGCTCCAGTTCCAGGGGATCTGACACCCTCTTCTTAACTCCAAGGTATTGCAAGCAAGACACGGGTGCAGGCAATACACTCATACACATAAAAAATAAAAATAGTAAACAAAATATTTGATTATTTTTGAATAGGCAATACAAAGAGGAAGCTCAACATTGAAACCACAAGACTGTTCATATAACAGGCTTTAGGGGCAAGAACCATGGGTTCAAGCCTGGAAGGAATCCACTGAGCAGGGATAGGAGTTGGTTCATGGGTATAAGGACCTATTGGCAGCTAATCACTGCTGAGTGACAGAGAGTTGGTCTTCTTTAAATGATTGACACTAGATAGGATGACCATACTCCAGTGGATGGACTCACATGGTGGGACTTGGGGACAAAATCTTGACTCCATAGGCCTTACAGATATGTCAGAATGCATGAAATCTGGGGGAGGTGGTGTATGGGGGTGCAGATAGGGGAGAGTGTCTATGATTGAGATGTATTGCATGACACACAAAATTTATATGTGTGTGTGTGTGTATGTGTGTGTGTTGAAAAAAAGAATATCGTGGTATTCTCTTCCGTAAGAGCACATTTATTTTCGCTTCAAATTCCAGCCACTGCATCTTTAGGTGGTCAGGATATCCTGGGAATAGGCTAAGTCCACATAGAAGCAGTTTGATTTTAACGTGTTTCTCTCCATCACTGCTTTTCCTATAACCTTATCCACGTTATTGAAAACTATTTCAAAAATAAATAAACTGAGCAATAGAGGTCAAAGACTCAAGCAACAACTTGAAAAGAAAAGAGGAGCAGCTTTGCATAGGCTCTGCTGCTACCCCACACATTTCATGTACACAATCACTTAAGAGGGATGGCGCTGGAGGATTTCTCTCAGAGGGAACAGTTTAGAATTCGTTGGAATATATTAGAATTTACACTCCTGTCTCAGCACCGAGGGTTTCCCCCTCTCCGACTTTTCTGCCTTGGGCCCCTCCCTTAGCCAGAAGATTTATGTGAACTGCTGAGTTAAAGATGGACTTGTAACACCAGAACTCTTGGATATTCTTCCGCCCTGCCAGTCACAGCTAGCTCTTTTGGACGACACAGCGGGAAATCCGTTTGCATTTCAGTATGGAAAGAAATGGCAGGCTTAGTGAGGGGCGCTCAGAAAAGACGAAGCTGATACGGAGACATTTGGTAATCGCCTGCTTCCCTGTGTTCAACGCTGTTTCCCCGATGTAGTCACCAATACCCACGTGACCCTGTATTGATTTGCAGCCCGCTGGATTAGGTGGAAGTGCTGTGAGTCATTAGGTATCGCTCCGCTGTCCTAAGCCGGATCTCCTTAAACTTCTCTATCTCCTCCCTCCGCGGATTTCGGTTACGGGACGTGGCAGCGCCTATTTTGCAGAGGAAAAGGTAGATACAGATGCCGGTCAGTGATCACGTGAGGGTTCCTGAGGCGCCCTGGGGACGGGAGAGAGAAGAGAGTATCGAAAAGTAATCGTAGTTTGCTAATCACAGCCCTTTATCTGGTAAAGCAAGCATCTCGTCATAAGTCCCAAGTGCCCGGCCAGCCCCTTAACACAGACGCCGCCATTGTCTCAGCTCCTTGCGCCTGACTCTCGGTGCCTCATTTCTGTAGGACATGGCACTTCTTGAGACAAGGAAATAAGAAAACGGCCTCTGATCCAAGCAGAACAGGTTAGTGAGAAGGAGGGCATTGCTTGGGGCTGTGAATGTGGATTCTGAGACTCGCAGGATACTCGACCTGTTTTTAGGAGGCGAGTGGTGAGAGGGCAGGAGGACCTGGGATGATTGAAAAAAAAAAAGCTACCTTCATTTCCAGAAACTCGCCTCACTTCCAACTGTGTTTGGAAAGGGATGGGTGTAATAGCATCTTTTATTGGGGAGATGGTGGACTTGTCAGAGGAGGCAGGACTGTTGCTCTTGGTGAGGGCAGTTGTCTGATGAACCCTGGGAATCAGGGAGAGAACATAAAAAGGTTGTAAATGTGTGAACATCAAGGTTTTGGATTCAAAGGTGATCTCTCATGTTCTGGTTGCTAGTCTGAGCATCAGTAATAATAACCACATCTTGCTGTGTTTTCATTTGTTTTTTAATTATCAAAAATGTATTTGTGTAGCTAGATGTGCTGCCAAATTTGCGGTACTCCATGTTTGAGGCCAAAAGGGATGGATTTGAAGATAAATAAAACTGACACGGTTTCTTGTACAGTGGACAAAGCTCCAAGATGAGGACAATAAGTAGGCATCTAGAGTAATTTCTAGATCTCCTTTTCACCAGCTTTATAGATACACCCTCTGTTACCTGCACTGTGTTGCAAAATATTGGGGGAGGAGCCTAAGCATAAGAGCCTGTAATAAATTTGAAAATGATACTTTCCATTGTTTTCCCAGCTTCCTGTGACTTGTCTGGGCATTTCAGCCCTACTAACACTACTACTACTTTGCAGGGATGTTTTAGTTGCATGGAAATGATCAGACATTGAGAACATAGCAGAGAAGCATGGAGATTTGGGAGTGGCAGAAGAAAGGGAATCAAACAAATCTTTGGCAAACAAGTACTGTATTCAGAAAGCATCTATTCCTTAGGTGTTCTCTAACAAAGACTCAGTGTCCATGGTCTCATGTGTCACCTGTTTCGGTTTGTGAATTTCTGTGGGTTCGTAGGTTTGTTTAACTGTTGGTTGTTGTGAAGGTTTGTAAAATAACCTAGCTTGAAGCTGGGAGATAAGAAAGAGAAAATTGCCCTGTGTCTAAGGTTGGTGTAAAGATAGACAAGGATTACTGACACTAGAAAATTACGTCTTTCTATTTTGTCATCTCACCTTACCAACGACCTGGTCTCCTGTCGATTTACGTGGGAGTCTTGATATACTTTGGAGGTACAGAATGCAAAGACCTCTTTTTCCTGGTCTTTGCTTATTCTGTTCTTTGTTATAATCTAATTCTGAACAAGGGAATTTAAAAGATCAGTCACTGAAGAGGAAACTGGTGGGCCATAAGCTGAGTGATGGGAAGAGTAGAGCATAAAGAGGGGAAAACTAGACAAACTGTCTCTGGAATGATAAGAATGGGGTTCAGGTTCCATGTTTTGTCTACCAAGAGCTCAGTTTCTATATGGTCCTCTGTATTTGCTCCATAGGTCTGCCAGTAGACCTGCTGCAGGGCTTATCAACCTTGGAAACAAAGAAGGGAGAAGAGAATTACGTCAGATCATCGTAGGTCAGTATGAATGTGGGGAATCCTGGAGCAGAACGGCAGGATGGAATAGTAGAGATTTGGCTCCAGCAGAGGTCAAAGCCAGCCTTGGGATTCCTCAGTCTCTCATGTCCCTGTAGCTTTCCTGTTCTCCATAATCTTATTAGTGTCTGGAAGGAAGAGTGGTAGCACTTGGAAGTATAGACGGGGTGAAATGAAAGGAAGCCTTTGCTAATTGTGTACTTTTCCGCATATAGCACTGAATTTCCATATTTTCCTATCTCTCTGTGCTGATCAGCGTGAGGAAAAAAATTAGAAGAGACTTAAAGCCCCATTTCCTTCCTCCACCCCTAGGTCCAACTTCACTGGCAGATCTGGTGGCCTTGGAGTGGCTGAAGACCACCACCCTCCACAGGGCTGCGCGCAAGCACAGCCATCCTTCTTTACTTTGAGTGAGCTTCCTCAGCATGCTGTCTATATCATTGGCAGAATCTGTAGTTGGAAAGGGGGCTGCATGACTACTGGACTTTATATGAAAACACCAACTTGGGGAAGACCTTCAGGCAAGGCCGAGATAGGAGTAGAGGCATATTATTTGGTCTTGCCTTTAACTTGAACCATGATTGGCTCTAAAACCAAAGCAAGGGCTAGAGAAGAGGCTGGGGCTACCTCGAATCCTGGAATCAGTGGCCTTGCGAATACTAAAGTAAAGGCCAAGAGTCAGACCAAGGCAGTGGTTGAGGCAAAACCAAAACAGAAACTGGGGAACCAGGCTGAGGCTAGGGATGAAGCAATGGTCAGGACTCAGACAGTGATTTGCACTGAGGCTGACTCTGTGACATTGGAAGTATGCAAAATAGAAGATATGACTAATATTAGAGTCACAACTCAGAGTGAGACAGAGCTCCTGCCAGAGCCTGGGTTAGTGATTCAAACCAAGTCCGAAGCCATGCCTGTGTCTATGGTCATTACTGTAACCAAATCTGGAGTCAGGGTTGACACTGGCATTGAGGCACATATCAAGTGCTCTGCCAAGGCTAATGATAAGTCCGGTATTGGGTGCAGATCTAAGATAAAGGAACAGGCCAGCATCAGTTCCAGGGCTGGAGACAAAACTAGTATTGTCAGCAGCTCCACTGATGAGGATGAAGAAAATGTGTGCTCTTGGTTTTGGACTGGAGAAGAGCCTAGTATAGGGTCCTGGTTCTGGCCCAAAGAAGAAACCCCCTTTCAAGTTTATATGCCCCCACCTAAGATTGAGGAAAAACCCAAATCCCCAGAGAAACACAACTTTACTTTAAAAGAAAAAGCAGCTGCATGGGCAAGGGCCAGATATATTGTCCTAGTCCCAGTTGAGGGAGGTGAACAATCTTTGCCTCCCGAAGGGAACTGGACCCTGGTTGCAACCTTAATTGAAACTCCTTTGGGTATTCGGCCATTGACTAAGATTCCACCTTATAATGGACCTTACTTCCAGACCTTAGCTGAGATAAAAAACCAGATTAGGCAGAGAGAAAAGTATGGACCTCATCCAGGGGCCTGCCGCTGTAAATCACGTAGCTTTAGTTTAGAGCCTAAAGAGTTTGATGAACTTGTTGCCCTCCTTAAGTTAACTAAGGATCCTTTCATTTATGAGATAGCTACGATGATAATGGGTATCAGTCCTGCCTATCCGTTTACTCAAGATATAATTCATGATGTTGGTATTACTGTTATGATTGAAAATTTGATCAATAATCCAAATGTTAAGAAACATACTAAAACTCTAAATACTGTGAGTGACAACTCAGAGTCTTCTGAAGAACCAAAAGGGAATGAATCACAAATACATCAGATTTGTAAGGGCATAATCTCTTGTCCTTTGAACTCTTCTGTACTAGTGGATGAACTAAAATTACTGGTGAACCTGAGTGGGAAACCCGAGAATCACCACGTGATTGCCAATTACATTCCAGAGTTCCTCATATTGCTAAATAAAGGAAGTGTCAAAACCAAGTTTCATGTCCTAAAAGTTTTTTTGTGCTTGTCGAAAAATCAAGCCAATACCAGAGAGCTGATCAGTGCTGAAGTATTGTCATCACTCGTGGCTCTATTTAACAAGAATGAGTCAAAGGCCAATATTCTTAATGTCATTGAAATATTTGAGAATATAAATTTCCAGTTCAAAAAGAGGACAAAGCTCTTTACCAAGGACAAGTTCACTAAATCTGAACTTATTTCAATATTCCAGGAAGCAAAAGGGTTTGGTCAGAAACTCCAAAACTTAGCAGAGCACAGTGATCCTGAGGTGAAAGACAAAGTTATCCGATTAATACTCAAACTCTAAATAGCTGTACGTTTGCACAAAGCCTGGAATGGTTTCTTTGTCTGTGCAATATAAATCTAATGAATACTATAATTATAAACTTGATACTTGTGTTCTCTGTATTTATTGAAGGAGGCAATTTTATGGATGCCAGTCAGATCTAGAGAGACTGAGCATTTGCTGAATTTTGTGCTATATGCATACTATAAATGGAGATATTTTTAGTATTTCTGTAATGTAACCTAATGATGAACATATTGGTCCTAAATAAGCTATATTTCTGTGATTATACTGATACAAGTGTATTTTCGTATTTCATTTACATGTTTTTAATAAAGTCGCATGCTAAACCTGATGAAAATATTGTCCTAGTTCTTCAGTTGAAATGTAGTCAGAGATAAAGCACAAACAATGTAAGGATACGGAGGAGCACAGTCTGTTTATCGATGGGGGCTGCACAAACAAAACAGGTTCATATTGACAGATTTTTCTAGTTTCCATGTGTTTGAGGAATACAGTCTTTCTGTGAGCAAGAAGACAGGACTATGTTACTAGCTGTCCATAGACTGCAGTTGGTAGGCCTTCACATGAGGAAGGAAGCTGTATCTGAGGGCTCTGGACAAATGGATGATCACAGAGTTAGGAGGAAGGAGAACAGATGCTTTCATTCTAGTCTGAACCCCAGAACTTGTACTTATTCTTTCACATAGGCTGTCTCATCGGGATGCCTTGAAGTTTTTAACACCCAAGAGGGTTTCTGGTTCTCACCCTGTTCGGTTAAGTCATGGATAGTTGTGGGAAATGCAGTTCTGGAGGGGCCCGGCTATGTTGTGCCCTTATTAGCACCCTTCCTATCCAGGGATACCAAGTTTATTACTTCCAGTGAGGTTCCCTCTCCCTGCAGTCCTGGCCTGGAGTGTCTGGGGTCTACTTACAGAAACTGCTTATCAGCATCAACTGTTCTACCTTGGTAGTTGTTGGTTCTCATCCTTGCTTTTGTTTTCTGACCAATACTCTCTACTTGGTGATTTTTACCTATTCCTGGTGGCAGTTTGTGCTGATTCTTATTGGTCAGAACCCTGCTGTTATGTGTGATACAACTATAGAATATTCCTTTAGGAGTGTGTAGTTAGGAAGAAATTAATTTCCCTCTCCTGCTTATTTTCAGCTTGCTGATTTGAAGCCATGTTGCTTATACTACTTCAGCCTCTCCTGTTTATACTTAACAAAAACTAGATTCTGAGCAGGGGATTATGGTATAAAATGACAGCTGTAGATGAGATCTGACATCTCTTTTGCCTCTCCTACTCCCAAACCCCTTTGCTCTTGTTACTCTTCATTTACTGTGCAGAATTGGTAATTTTAGCTCTTAGGATCCCTGTAGAAATTTTTCTCCTTCTCCCTCTCCCTCCCTGTTTATACTTAACAAAAACTAGATTCTGAGCAGGGGATTATGGTATAAAATGACAGCTGTAGATGAGATCTGACATCTCTTTTGCCTCTCCTACTCCCAAACCCCTTTGCTCTTGTTACTCTTCATTTACTGTGCAGAATTGGTAATTTTAGCTCTTAGGATCCCTGTAGAAATTTTTCTCCTTCTCCCTCTCCCTCCTCCCTCATCTCCTGTGTTTGTGTGTGTGTGTATGTGTATGTGTGTATGATGTGTATGATGTATATGAATGTGCTCATTCATGTGTGTGGTTTTGCTCTTGTTATGACTTTCTCCCAATTTTTCATGCATTTTGGAGGTTTAGATATTAAATTTCAGCGTGATGGACAATATCCCAAATTAACAGCCAATTCTAACAACCTATTTTTCATACCTCTATGAATAAAAATGAAGCACAGTTGGCCATATTTGTATATTAAGAGGAGGAAAAAGCAGGTTTTTTTCTTGCAGTGTACAGCCTTAATTTAGAAGAGTTTTGAAGTTCTATGTAACTGTTTTTAATTCACAGATATACCCTAGCCTATAATACCAGCTGTGAGTACTTCTCTCAGTATTGGAGATCTTCACAATGCAATTGGACCAAATCCTTTGGAAATAGCCTATATCTCAAATGCCCTGTGGAGTGCACACTTAATCAGTTGATGGCTGTGGAATTTCCCAATATCAGCTAACGAGAAGGGTGAGTTTGGGATATGTATATATTGGTGCCAAAGCAAGAATTTCATCTTTCAGCCTTGGGTGGTAATTTTTCTTTTGGTCTTTTTGAGACAGGGTTTCCCTGTAGTGCCAATGGGTGGTAATTTTAAGAGTCAAAATCATCTGTTCTTCCTGACATGTCCTGTGTTGATGCACACTTAGGTTGATTGTGATGTTGGCCTATTATGTCTAATGCAGTAATGGACATTGGAGTGCAACTATCTGTTGGAGTTGCTAATTTCAATTCTTTGAGTATATACCTGGAAGCGGAATTGCTGGACTATCTTGATAATTCTGTGTTCAGCTTTTGAGGAATTGCTAAGCTGTTTTCCACAGTGGGTACACTATTTTAATTCCCATCATCAGTAAACAATAATTCAAATATATCCATATCCTTTGGAATACTTCTTATTTTCCTCTACCTTTTAATAATTTTTAAGAGGTACATAAATCATGAATTGATATTTTAATGCAGTAATATGTTTTGTTTAGATACATGTATATATTTTGTACTTTTCAAATTCGGTGTCCATGATAGAATAACCTAAGGATCTGAACCCGGGTCCTCTGCAAGAGCAGCCAGTGCTTTAACCACTGAGACATCTCTCCAGCCCCCAGTTTGACGTCTTTTCAAACCTGAGTGCCCATTTATTTGTTTCTCTGTCATGATTCTCTTGTGAGGACTTCTAGCCTGATGCTGAGTGAGCATGAGCATCCCTGTCTTATTTTAGATGCTAGAAAAAAAATCTTTCAGCTTTTTCCTTTGATTAGCTATCAGCATATTGTAATAGTCTGTGTAATTCTGTGATATTCCTAATTCTTTGGTGCTATTATCATGAAGGGATATTGAATTTTAGCAAATGTCCTTTCTTTATTTATTGAGGTGATCATAGGGTCTTCTGTCTGTCCTTCATTCTGTCAGAATGGTTTGTCAGATCATTGGTTTATAAACGTTGAACCATCGTTGCATCCATGGAATGAAACCCACTTTACCATAATGAAGAGATTTTTTTTAACTTAAAACTTTATTGAGAGTTTCATACATGCATATAAGATGCTTTGATAAAATCCATGCCCACTCTCTCCCCTCCAACACCTCCCATATCTTCCCATCACTTTTTTCTGACAACTTGGTTCTTTCTTTCTTTCTTTCTTTCTTTCTTTCTTTCTTTCTTTCTTTCTTTCTTTCTCTCTCTCTCTCTTTCTTTTTTTCTTTCTTTTTCTTTTCTCTTTCTTTCTTTTTTTTTTTTTGGTTTTTTTGAGAAAAAGTCTCTTTGTAGCCCCAGCTGGCCTTCCTTCCTTCCTTCCTTTTCTTTTTTTTTATGGGGCCTTTTGCTACTCTAATATTCTCCCCTCTGAAGAGGTAATCCTAAATCTTTTAGGGATTAGATAAGAGCTCCCAAATGCTTTTGACATTTTTGACCTTTGGAAGAGAGTATGTTGCTAAGAGGCCCAAGGACATTTTGACTTTTAGCTAAGAAACTGGCTACTTTTCTTTGGGGTCTTTTTACCCTAACTGCCTAGCCAGTTCCTACCTCCTATTCTTATCACACCATCCTCTGAAGAGGTTACCCGAATTAATGATAAGGAATCAGGACGCAGACTGCTCTGGCTTCTTCCATGCTGAATGAAGGGTGAGGCAATTGGGGTACCCCTTCGGTGGGTCTATCTAAAAGACTCCCAAATTGCATAACTCTTAATCTGTAGAGAGAAAAGAAAGTCCTTGACTGGTGAATAGGGAATGTGAAGGACAAGTAAAGGCAAGAGCAGTTAGCATTACAAGTTCTAGAAAGGGAACCAGAAAAAAGTCAGAATAGGGCAAATGTTCATATCAGAGTCCATTGGGATTTCTTGACAAGAGATTCCAAAAGCATCCCTCTATTGGGTTCCTCCTCATTTTTCTTTTGTCTGCCAAGGCTGGACTCAAGAGTGATGGATTCAGAATTTACTTTCAGGCACTTTGATACTGTTGGATTGGCTAGAATCAGTGTCAGCTCCGTCTCAAAGGCTTCTTGAGAGGGGGAGAAGACAAATTTAGCCATCATTTTAGAAAACAATAGTGGGTTGTCTCCCTTAGCTACAGGTGGGCACTATAGCATTGCAGACCAAGATTTGAAGTGTTACATCTGAGCAGCACTTTCTGCTTAGAAACAAAATCATCAATGAGAAATAATTGTCTAAATAAATTTTATATGGACTTAAGCCAAATGTCTGAGATGTGTAATCCCTTGAACTCTTAAAGAAATATACTGATCACTTTAATCTTTGGTTATACTTTCCTTTTGGGTGTTTGAGACCATACAGTTGGCCCACATAAACCAATTTATTTTCACTCTTAGGGCCTTTTGAGGATCTGTTCCTCAGGGGTCACATGGACTTGGGAGGAGCCCCTGACTCCTTTCTTTCACCGGTTCCATCTATGTGAAGATAAGTCGAAGGTCTTACTCGACCATGCCTGGCTTTACTTGGAAGTGTGGAAGAAAGGTTTCCTCTGTGTTGACCCTCCTCTTTGTAGACTGGACACTGGTTCCAGTCCATCTGGTGAGGTCTCCATGGCCTCACTGAAAAGGAGGACAGATGACTCACCCCAGTTATAGGACATTTTGAGAGATGCTCCATAGTCCCCTGGAACTTAGTTGACCTTGGAAGGCAAGGAGCAAAAACTATCCTTTAAGTCCCTCTGAACAGATTAGTATAGGCCTCAAAGTATGGCTGTTAAACATCCAATTATGTTAGTTCCACCAGTCTGGTTCTTTTAATTACCATGTGCTATGTAGATAAAGCTTAATAATACTATTCATAATCATTTGCTACTATTTATTTTGTTAAGGATTTTTTTTGGTCTTTTTGATGCAGGGTTTCCCTGTAGCCCCAGCTGGCCTGGAACTCACTATGTAGACAAGGCTGGACTTGAACTCACAGAGATCTGCCTGCCTCTGCCTTTGGAGTGCTGGGATTAAAGGCGTGCGCCACCACGCCGGTCTTATTAAGGATTTTTGTGTCTATACTAATCAAAGATAATTGGCCTGTAGTTTTATGTGTGTAATTGCCTAATTTTGGTCATCAGGATAATGCTGGCCTCATGTAATGTCTTTGGACTAATTCCTTCCCCTTCTACTTTTTTGAAATACCCTAAGGTGAGTTGGCACTGGTTCTTTAAGCATTTCATAGACTGCAATAGCAAAGTCATCTGGTCCTGGGCTTTTCTT